CTCACGGTCTCTCCTGCCCGGGCTGGCTTTGAACCGCGATCCTCAGATCTCAGCCTCCTGAGTAGCTAGGATTACAGGCGTGAGCCACCAGCGCCCGGCTCCAGCCAATTTTTTGAAGCTTTAATTCTAGGTTTCACACACCCACTCAGCTTTTTTTGTTGTTGTTGTTGGTCATGGGGCATGAACTCGGCTTGAGTGCTGTCCCTCAGCTCTTCGGCTCAAGACTAGCTTGCTACCACTTGAGCCACAGTGCCACTTCCAGCTTTTTCTGTTTATGTGGCGCTGATGAGGAATCAAACCCAAGGCCTTATGCATGCGAGGCAAGCACTCTACCACCGAGCTACTTTCCCAGCCCCAGTTTTTTTACTCACAGCTGTCACTCTTCCACTTGAGCTACAGCTTCACTTCTGGCTTTTTGCTGGTTAATTTGAGATCAGGGTCTCAGTTTGTCTGTCTAGGCTGGCTTCAGATCTCAGCTTCCTGACAAGCTAGGATTATGGATATTGAGTCACCAGCATCCAGTGTCAGTTCAGCTTTTTTTTGGTTAATTGGAGATGGAGTCTTCCAGACTTTTTATGCCTGGGCTAGCTTTGAACCTCAAGTCTCCTGATCTCAGACTCCTGAGTAGCTTAAGTAACTATGATTATTATTATTAACTATAGCCATCATGCCGTGTAGACTACTAACACTTTTTTTTTTCTAGATGAAGGCATGTATCTCCATATTCCCTACCCTTCACCTTTATCAACATTCTATTCTCTACTAAGTTCGTTTTCCATCTCAATTTAAGTGAAATCACACGTTTGCCTTTCTGTGAGCCTAGCTTACTTCACTCAACATAATATCCTCCAGGTTTATTCAAGTTGTCACAAATGACAAAAATTCCTTCTGGTTTTGTTGTTGTTGTTTTTTGCTTTTGTTTTTGTTTTTTGGTCATGGGGCTTGAACTCTGGGCCTGAACACTGTCCCTCAGCTCTTCAGTTCAAGGCTAGTGCTCTACCACTTGAGCCACAGCGCCACTTCCGGTTTTCTGAGTCGTTTATTGGAGGTAAGAGTCTCACGGACTTTCCTGCCCGGGCTGGCTTTGAACTATGAACCTCAGATCTCAGTCTCCTGAGTAGCTAGGATTAAGGTGTGAGCCACTGGTGCCTGGCAGAAATTCCTTCTGTTTAAAGGCTGAATAATGTTCTTTTGTTTGTTTGTTTTGATTGGTTGTTTGTGGTGCTTGAATTCAAGCTCTGGGCATCGTCCCTGAGTTTTTTCACTGAAGACTAGTGTTCTACCACTTTGAACCAGAGCGCCATTTCCAGTTTTCTGGTGGTTAATTGGAGTTAAGAGTCTCACAGACTTTTTCCTGCTCAGGCTGACTTTGAACCATGATCCTCAGATCTCAGCCTCCTGAGTAGCTAGGATTACAGTCGGGAGCCACTGGGGCCCAGCTAATAATGTTCTACTTCATATGCTCTTATTTTGCACTGTAATTCTGTCTCTGCTCCCATCAATTTCTCCTCTCTTTAGCCAGTTATTAACCCAGGAAAGTCCACTTAGGACAAATCAGAATCTAATGTGCTTCGGAAATATCCTGGGGAAGTACTTATCAGATACCTGGGCTGTCCTTGGCTCCCACAGGCCGGAGCTTCGGCACTCCTCCTTGGAAGAGCCCTCCCTTGGGCTGCAGAGCAGCGGCTCCAGAGCCGTAACCACCACTGCTTCCTTTGGGCTCTGGAAAGTATACCATTAGGATATTCATTTCATAAGCATTGAGATGATGACCAAGTCAACCCTTCCTCTATGTGGGCTTTAAATTGCAAACAAATCAATTCTGCTTTTTTTGTTGTTTTTGTTGTTGTTTGTCGGTTGTGGGGCTTGAACTTTAAGCCTAGGTGCTGTCCCTCAGCTCTTCAGCTCAAGGTGAGTGCTCTACCACTTGAGCCACAGTTCCACTTCTGATTTTCTGCTGGTTAATTGGAAATAAGAGTCTCATAGACTTTCCTGCCTGGGCGGGCTTTGAAGCATGATCCCTCAGATCTCAGCCTCCTGAGTAGCTAGGATTACAGGCATGAGCCACCAGTGCCCAGCCTTTTTTTTGCCTTTCTATTAAATAAAGTTAGGCTTTTCTTTTCTCCATCTCCATGTGGGGATGAAACTTCCAGTGTGATGAAAGAAATAGAAGCTAACCTTTTCTTACTTAGGGTGAAAGGAAAGCAATGAGCAAAAGTGTCAGATACTGAGTTCCAGTCTCAGTTTCAGGCTAAAAAAAAAGAGAGACAATGAAATGTTCAGAGCCAGGCACCTGTGGCTCACTCCTGTAATCCTAGCTACCCAGGAGGCTGAGATCTGAGGATCATGGTTCAAAGCCCAGACAGGAACATCCATGAGAGTCTTTTTTTTTTTTTTAGTCCATAGTGGGGCTTGAACTCTGGGCCTGAGCACTGTCCCTCAGCTTTTCAGCTCAAGGCTAGCTCTCTACCACTTGAGCCACAGCGCCACTTCCAGCTTTTTCTGCTTATGTGGTGCTGAGGAATCAAACTCAGGGTCTCATGTATGCAAGGAAAGCAGTCTACCACTGAGCCACCTTCCCAGCCCCTCCATGAGACTCTAATGTCCAATATATCACCAGAAAAATGGAAGTGGCACTGTGGCTCATGTGGCAGAGCACTAGCCTTGAGCTGATGAGGGACAGCGCCTAAGCCCAGAGTTCAAGCCCCAAAACTGACACACAAAAACGTTTCTAGGAAGGGCTGGGAAGGTGGCTCAGTGGTAGAGTGCTTGCCTTGCATTCATGAGGCCTTGGGTTTGATTCCTCAGCACCACATAAGCAAAAGAAAAAATCCGGAAGTGGTGATGTGGCTCAAGTGGTAGAGCGCTAGCCTTGAGCTGAAGAGCTGAGGGACAGCGCCCAGGCCCAGAGTTCAAGCCCCACGACCGACAAAAAAAAAA